TGCTTCCATATCCAGGGCTGCACGGCCGAAAGATCTCCAATCCCTGAGCCCTGCGCTGTACAAAGCAACAAAAAACTTCTCAGGCGCAGCCCTGCAGAAGTTTGTTAGCAGATCATCATCAGACATGATCAGCCCAGGGGTGGAGGTCAACTGCTCAAACTCTGCAAACAAGGACTGCAGAGTAACGCTGTAGCGCTGCTGACCCAGACGTGTAATCCGGTCAGCAGCCTTGCGGGCCCTCTCCTTGTCTGCAAAGCGTTCCTCCAGGGCCTGCAGAAGTTTCCCCACTCCCAAGGCTGAAGCCCAGTCCTCCAATGTTTGTTGCTGGCCGCTGGCTGTTGACGCAGCCCATTTCTGGGTTGGGCCCTCCAGCAGCCCCACAACAGTGGCCACTTTCTGTTGTTCTGGGCACACGAAACCCTTCAGATAAGCTCGGGTTCCTGCAGCCCAGTCCCCAACATCTGTTTTGGGGTCATCACCCCTAAACTTGCTGGGTGCAGGGATCTTGGGTCCTCTCTGATCCCCTGCAACCACAGCAGCAAAAGTGGGAGGAGGTTTGACTTTAGCCTCGGAGGAGGTAGAGGGAGATGACTTGTGGGAACCATGAGGAGAGGAGGGAGGTGAAGAAGAAGGGGAAGACGGTTTAGGTTTGAGAGGGGAAGTAGATGGTACCACAGGTGCAATCAGGCAGGCTGCTGTCAACTTACCAGTCAGATTCTGGATAGCATCCAGGATCTTGGACTGCTGAGTCGCCAGATCGCCTACCCGGGTCTCCAAACGCTGTATACGATCGTCCCAATTAGTAAAGTGACTGGCGGTGGTCTTGTTCTGCAGGAGTACCAGCTCCGCCAAGTACCTTGTACATTGGGCTACCCTCTCATCAGAAACAGTCTTCTCAGCTTGCTGCAGCTGAAACTTTTTTCGGGAGGCATCTGTTGCAGCTTCCAATTCCGCTGCTTCCTGTCTCTCAGCCTTTGCGAGCAGAGCCTGTTGCTCTTGCAATTTTTCCTCAATTTCCCTCTTGCGCCGCTGAGCAGGGGTGAGAGGAGGAGGGGTAGGAGTAGAGGGAGAAGGTTTCTCTTCTCCCTTTACTACTATCTCTACCTGTCCCTCACCTCAGTTAGCAGCGTTAGTCATTTTCCCTTTCAGAAACAATAAACAAAAGAGTTAGACAGCAAGAGGTGCAGCGATTTACAATCGACTCAGACCCTCAAAAATCGCTGCACTATTAATTCAGAGGGTAAGGTGGGTTAGTAGGCACAAGCGGTTAGGGTTAGAATACAATCACTGGGGTCAGTAATCAGACAGACTGAAAGTCTAGTAAAATCATTCACTAACGATTTCCTATATCTGACACTGAACCATCACTGAAGTTGAAATGTACAGTTTCAGTGCATTCCAGAGATCACTAACATTCCAGAGCCCATCAGAAAACAAAGATAATCAGTGGTAGAAACAGATACAGGCAGAAACTAACTAAAACAGAGCAACAAGTAGTAGCGATACAGTAGACTAGACCCTGACAGCCCTAAACTCAAATTTCGCCACTGTTGACATCAACAAAATTACCCACTGACACAGCGATTTTCAGTCTTTCACTGTAACTACTCAAATTCACCAATTCGGGGCCAGCGCTTTTGCCCAGATGACAAATACTGAATTGCGATTCACCCCAGACTGACAGACTTGAATTCTGACGGACAAAATCTAAGTTTTGATTGACCCTAGGTAGCACAGGCTAAAAATAGACTCAGCACAAAACTAAGATTCACTGTATCTCTACTTTTTCTACTCAGAAGTCACAGAATGATCATACAAGGTGCAGCGCAATACTGTCATACAGTCCCAGAACAAATTTGAGTCAGAAAGAGTCAACATATGGTGAGATATGGGTCAGGGTAGGGAGGAAGAAGATGGCTATGGTTGTCTTGCAGTCTGACAATTTCAAAATTGAGACCCCACTGACAGACAGACCATCAATTCCGACTCTACTGATCCTAAACTAATCGCTACTCAGGGATTTACACGGCACACACTCACTTGCAGTGTTTGCTCCAGTGGATGATGAAGTTCTGGCTATGGCTGACAGAACCCTGATCTCGCCACTTCCATGCAGACACTCCTCCACTGATCTCCACGTGTAGAATCTCCTGAAACTTGTTGGTCTTGCTCAGTATCATGTGGCGCTTCAACCCCAACTCTAAGATTCACTGAATCTGGCCCAGTGGCGATAGGGAACTCTCCTGAAGATATCTCGCCACTGCAGAGCTAAGCCGTTGGTGCTAAATTTAGCCCAGATTAGGGCTAATTCAGCAGGAGATTGATCCTGCGATCAATTCTTCCTCAGCGCTATACTTGGTTTGTATACCGCCACCCAGGTATCACTGGATTAGGGTGTAATTCGCCACCCTGAACCCAGTCATTAAATGAGCTCAAAAGGGTGGATGGCGAAATACCCCTGTTCTCGCCAAATCCTGTCAGGCGCTCAGACAGGCTCAGTGCGCCTGATCAATCGCACACTAAATCTCTGAATTCACCGCTTGTATACTTGCTCCCCTCTCTGTATCTTCCCTGAAGATGAAGCTTCAACATGGAGCTTCTCGCCAGATAGAGCCAGAAGGAGCAGGTGCCTTTGTTGTGCTCAACCCTCAATGCTCCAAGTCCAATCTCCGCTCCGATACCAACTGTTATGAACTTGGTTGTCTGACAATTTTCTCGCCACTCGCACACAAAGTATCTCACACATGCCCATACATGCACAAGACAAAGGGGAGGAGAGACAAAGTCCAAACTGTACACAGACCAGAGATAAGCAGCGGAATAACAACCATGCACAAATGCGGAGAATACACACTGTGTTTCTCTCTCCCTGACAAACTCCCAACAACCAATCACAAGATGACACTACGAAGATCACAATTGGAATATAACACTGATGATGAGCCAACTCAACTCAATTAACCCCAATTATCGTTACAGAGTTTAACCCAGTGTCTCGCCACCTCAGCACTCACACTCCACACACAACCCCACTCTCAGAGTCCAGCGCTACACTGAAACAGCCTCCCAGAGGCCAGCGCCATCCACCAAGATGAAGATCATGAATCGCAGTGCAGTCCTCAGTGCCGATGAGCCACTCTGACGATGAHGAAGGCAGCTATGGCTGCCGGGCTGCTACCATAGCAGCTCCACCCACATGTACCCCACGAAGAGCCTCCAAATAGCCCTGTCTGGCGCAGATAACCTCAGAGGGTAGATGCGCTGAGACTGGCCCCAGCTATGGCCGTCTCTCAGGGGCTGGCTATGGCTGCCTCACGTAGCTGAAGTCTCAGGTGCCGCTGTAGACTTTCAGCCTTGCAACACTTGGTTGGCCACGAACGCGGTTACGCGAAAAATGAACTGCCAAAAGCCCTGAATCGGTGGGCCTAACCTATCTATAGACTCTCTAGACCTAGACCGGACTGACTGACCGACCGGTACCGTTGCTGTTTCGGCCTCTACCGGACCCGGCTATAGGCTATAGGACCGTCTAGCAGTATAGGCCGCTTAGGGCCTGTCTGTCCTAGGGGTAGCCCGGGCCTGCTATGGGCAGTTAGGGTAGCTGTGGGAATTCGGCTAGTACCGGGCCTGTATTTTCCCGGATTTGCAGATCTGTCCCTCAACGAATTTCCTTACAGGCAGGTTTCGCGGTTAGCCCTCAGCCAAACAAAATTACGAATCTTACCTACCGGTTAGTGTACAGCCTCGCAGTTAATCTCGGCAGCAGAAATCAGCAAGTCATTGCATGTGTATGGTCTTTGGGTGATGACAGACGTCCGCGGGTGGTGGGAACCAACAGTCTGCGGAGTTCACCCGCGATGTGAGTAGGTGATGTGTTGGATGTGTATACTCCCTAGCCTTGTCTGCGCTCCCCCCTGCCTCGCTGCTCGTCCTGATTGCTTCGCGTGTTGTTTGTGTGGGCTGCTGTGTTCACTGTGTGGTGTGGCTTTGGTGTTGGTGTTGCCCGGTGCTTTGCTGCACTGTTGCCTTCCTGCCCATCCGCGTGCTGTTCCTTCCACGTTCCCTGCTAGTGCGTCGTGTGGTGTGGCTGCTGTGTTGGTGTTGCCTTGTGCCTCGCTGCGCTGTTGCCGTGCTGCTCGTTTGCTTTAGCATTGTGCAGTTGAGTTGCTCCAGCAGTGCCACCTGGTGCTACACTGAGTTGCCGCCTGCTGCTATGTTCTGCTTGGGGACAGTCTGCCTTCAACATGGGTCGTAGGGTTCATGACCCAAACCATCAATACGGGCGTTCCTGTGTTGTTTGTCTTCTCCCTGCCTTATGCGCTTGTGTGATGTCTGGTGCTATGCGTGACGACCTTTCACGTCCAATCTCAGGACTATTCCAGCTTTACCTTTGAAGTGGTTTCATGGGTAGCGTTCGTGATTATACCACGTTGGGGATATCTGGTACATGTGTGTTCGTACACACACACACACACACACACACACACACACACACACACACACACACACACAGAAATACACTGACACCATCTCCCTCCTAATGCACACACACTCTCCCATCATGTATGCCCATGAAGGTTTTGATGAAGATATGTGGCTAAGTTGCGTTCTCTATATGCCCTTTGACGGTCAACAGAGGTCACTCTGATAGTTGTTTGATCTTCGATGAACCCTTTTCAGTTGCATTCGTTAGATCAAATACAATCAGAGAGCGCAGTATGATGAAGATCGTATGCTGTGTTCGGGAAGAATGAATCGTGTGTCAAGCTTTTTCATTAGGTTATGGATTGATTTTCTGATTACTTAACCAATCAATAAGTTGCCACGGTGACTTACTTCACGGRCGAGGACTCTGGTTCAAATCCAGGATAGCCCATTTATTCTTTATTTGTYGCACCTTTCTGTTATTTGAACTTTAGTCTAATTCTAGAGAATATAGTTCTTTTGAAAGGGCGACCAAGGAGAGAAAAGGAAATAGATGAGATGAATAGTCAACGCACCATATGTTGGAGACGATGGGAATTATAATTGTTGCTGTCTGCAGGAAATAACACAAAGGCCAAACAAATATATGACGGTAAAATTCAGAACTGTGGTAAGTATACAACAAGGATATTTAAAAGGATGGCAAAGGGTGCGCAGTTCGGGAAAAAACAGAACTGAGAACAAGCACCAGCACGGAAAGTTACTGATCTCAGTGCAAACTGACCAGTTCAATGGGGAAATTCCAGGTATAACCTGTTCCAGAGAAAGAGAGTCCGGGGGCATTAAAATTCATCTGTTTGGATTTCATATGGGACGCTGGGCCCGGTTCCCAGCACGTCCTGCTCCCTTCGCATAGATTGGAGCCTTGCTCAGAAAAAAAAAAAAAAAAGAAAGGTGAAAAGGAAAAAAAAAGAGAGAGAGACGTCCTTCGGGACATCCGTTAAAATGGGAATGATACAGAAAAGTAAAAAAAAAAAGATAGATAGAGAGAGAGAGAAAGAGAAAGAGACTCCAGGAATTCACTGTGAGCTGCTTAGTTCTAGGAGACCAGAGTCACAGTAGTCCTCTGGGACTGATCAGTTCCAGAGGAGTCCCAGAGGAACACAGTCCCATGGGTGTTCCAGCCTCTGTTCCTCTGGAACTGATTAGTTCCAGGTTTTGGTATCAATTATCTCTTGCGATTTTATCATCATTTCCCCTGGCTTTGATAGCAGATGGACTCGAGTAACCGCCACGTTCAATTGAAAAGGTCGTACTGTGAGTGTGGCTTCAGGCTCGTAAAGGAGTGAAAGGCAGACATGCACAGTTTCTAAATATTTGCATGCGACTGGCGAAGCTCAAGGCCATGCGCATCCATTGGATTAGTCAAACAACAATGTGAAAAAGATGCATCTTTCCCCACACAAGAATGAACGCCTACGTGGACTGTTCATGCAGATGTTTGGCATAATATCCGTAAGAAATAAGGTCAGCCTGTCAGTCGAAGGACAATTGCTAATCCATCAGTCAAATCAATACCGAAAGAGAATTGAGACCCTCAAGATTGACACAACCATAATAGTTCAGAAAAGACCACCTGAAAATTTATCTGGAATCTGCATACAGCATACAGGATGTGTGTTTTGAATTTTCACCGCAACAGCCCCTATTCCACCCAGATGAGTAGATCCAAAATTGAAGCAGCTTTAGTCCTATTGCAGACAACGAAAACACTTGAGTGGAGACAAACCAACAATGAAACAGTTACCTTTATAGCAAGCGTTTAAACTTTAAATCCCTTTCTTAACTGTGTTTAATTTGGCCTTTTTGGGTACCCATTTCATTTGTCCTTGCAACTCCCCTTTTACTGTGCCTCTCATGCTCGCCATGCTGATTGTGGTTGAGCGCGAGCTGCCCACATCCCCGTAACAGCCCACTTGCACATTATGAAAGGAGGAAGAGTAAAGGCGGAGCGGAGCCTGCCGCGGAGGTATATTCCTGCTCATTTTTCCTCAGATCTTCAGCTTATATTTTGTCTCAGTTTGTCTGTTCTCTTAATGATGCTCATCCGTTTGCATTTACCCGTAGTACAGAAGAGGAGGGAGGAAGGGAATAAGATGTGGAGTTCTCACAGGGTTCTAAATACTCACCACTGGAGCAGACCACTCTAGAATGGCACATAAAGCCAGTCAGTGTTTGGGTTGCATGCGGTTTTGAGTTGAGGAACAGCCGTTGCCTATGTGCATGTGTGTGTGTGTGTGTGTGTGTGTGTGTGTGTGTGTGTGTGTGTGTGTGTTATGAATTATCACCACAACTTCCCCCATTCCATCCAGATGAGTAGATCCAAAGTCGTAGCAATTTTACCTCTATTGCAGACAATGAAGCATGCTTAAGATGAGTCAATCCACCAATGAAACAGTTTTGCTTGTAAAGTCAATATCTATCCAAAAACACCGGAATCTTACCTTTATACAAGCAAGGAATCTCACCTTTATACAAGCAATGCAACACACTTGACATGGGGCAACCCAACGGTAAAACCAATACGAGACACAATAAATCCGTTATATCGTTTTCTTGATTATGTCTTCATCAACTAACATTGGGAGGCCTCCCCTTTTCTTTGTTTTTGCAGCACCCTTCTTACTGTGCCTATCACGTACAAGGCTGGCCACGCTGATGATGGTTGAACGCCAGCTGCCCACATCCCCGTGTGCCTTTACGGCCCACTTGCACGCTAGAAAAGGAGGCAGAGTAAAAGGGTAACTTATGTTTTGTCTGTTCTCTTAATGACGCTCATTCATATGCGTTTACTGGAAGTATACAAGGAGACGGAGTACATAATGGGGGGGAGGAGGAGAGAGAAAAATTATTGATGGAGAGAGAGAGAGAGAGAGAGAGAGAGAGAGAGAGAGAGAGAGAGAGAGAGAGAGAGAGAGAGAGAGAGAGAGAGAGAGAGAGANAGAGAGAGAGAGAGAGAGAGAGAGAGAGAGAGAGAGAGAGAGAGAGAGAGAGAGAGAGAGAGAGAGAGTTCAGTAGGTTCTCCATACACACCGTTGGAGCAGACCACTCTAGAATGACACGAGAGGTCAGTCGGTGTTTGGGTTGCAGGATGATTTTTGTTGAGGGGTAGCTGTTGGCTATGGAAGGTGGCCACCCCTACAGACCGGACAGCACCGATTCGTGTGCGGACTGTGGAAGCATCGCATCCAATTCTCATAGTCGCAGTTGCTGCACCGAATGGCATGGCCTAGACAGATATCACAGGCAATGTGACTCCCACAGGCAAGGAACACAGAGGCACGCCGACAGCAATTATAAAGGCATTGCCGTTTGAGCTCGTCTACAAATTGGACATGACATCTCAGGGTGCCGGACGTGAGTGCAATATTGACTGTCATCATACGTATGAAAACAAAAAGATGCACGGGCTGTTACCTTTAGAATCCTCATGACACAATGCATGCAACCCACATCCTAGCCGAATCTCTGGTGGATCATCACAGAACAGCATTGAGCAGGTGTCCTGGGTTTCCTCGGCATTGATTCCTTCTCTATGGACGGATGACGACTACGACTGTGGCAAGAGGGGGTCATCCACAACAAGGTTGTCTAGCTGCTGCAGGATTTGTTCTGCAACAGTTCATCCTGGTGGTGTTAGCCCTTCAGCATAGCGCTCCGTAAGCGGTTCATATGGTACTCTATTTTCCCGCTCAGGCTGCTGAGTTTGCCGTTCATCGGGCAAGACAGAAGGAAATCCGATGGCGTTTGCAGCAAGTGTATGCCCAACTCTGAATGCGGGACATGCTAAGAGAGGATGTGGCGGATGATGGCATCATGGATAGTCCACGCAGTAGAGACGTGTGTGTGTGTGTGTGTGTGTGTGTGTGTTATGAATTTTCACCACAACATCCTCTGTTCCACCCAGATGAATAGATCCACAATCACAGCAACTTCAACTCTATTGCAGACGATGAAGCATGATTAAGATGAGCCAATCCACCAATGAAACAGTCTTGCCTCTATAGTCAGCAACATGAAGCACAATATATACTCAAAGTCATAGGAATCTTACCTTTATATAAGCAATGAGACACACTTGAGATGAGCCAACTCAACAATAAAACAGTTAGCAATATGAAACACAATATATCCATTATATCGTTTTTGTGATTATGTTCACCTCAGCTACCTTTGGCAGGCCTCCCATTTTATTTGTTCTCCCAGCTCCTCTCTCACTGTGCCTCTCACGTACAAGGCTGGCCACGTTGATGATGGTTGAGCTCCAGCCGCCCACACCCCCGTGTGCCTTAACGACACACTTGCACGTTATGAAAGGAGGCAGAGTAAAGGCGGATGTATACGCCTGTTCATTTTTCTTCAGGTCTTCAGCTTATATTTTGTCTGTTCTCTTCATGATGCTCACTTGTATGTATTTACTAGTAATACACGAGGGGAGGGAGAAACGAAGGGGATCATTGAAAGGGAAGGAGGTGTTCTATAGGAGGTGAGGGGTGGGGGAAGAAGAAGGGGCAAAGGAGGAAAGCGGGGTGGCAAAGAAGAGAACAGACAGGTAACGAACTTCACAGGGTTCTTAATACTCCCTGCTGGAGCGGAATAGTCCAGAACGGCTCAAGAGGCTAGTCAGTGTATGGGTTGCAGGAGGTTTGTGTGTGTGCGTGCGTGTGTGTGTGTGTGTGTGTGTGTGTGTGTGTGTGTGTGTGTGTGTGTGTGTGTGTGTGTGTGTGTGTGTGTTACAAAAAGACCGGACTCTCTCTATCTCATTCCATCCACAAATCGTCATAAACAATCCATTAAAAAAAAAAAAGGTGTCAGGCTGGCCACGCTTGTGTGGTTAAGCGCCAAGTGCCCACACACCTGTCTGCCGCCGAAGCAGCACGCTTACACAAATATATATATTTTATATAAGGATGGAGGGCAAAAGGCAACATACTTAACAAACAATAATTACACCGAACTAAAAAAATCAGTTGAACCACAACACAAAGAGCTCCACTAATAAGAAAGCACCGACCACACCCGCAATTGATCTGAAAAAACTTTAGAGAGCCCTCTGAGTAGGCCCACAAAGCCATCATTGGTTGCACAAATACATAGGCGTGCAGCGCAGCGCCAGTCTGGTTGTGTACACAGTCAGCAGACGGGAAGGAGCCTAAATCGATGGACTCGAAAGAGCACATCGCATACTTGAGCAGAACGAATCCGTCGGCGGTCGGCCTCAACATCTACCGGCTTCGTACGCTTCGGAAATCAATTAAACTACACCTGACAGAAAGGTCTGGCAAGAGCGAGCAGACAACATTGGCACTGCTATTCATCCCAAACTACCCATTCACGTCACCATCATCTCTATCACACAATGGCTCAACCACCACCCTTTCATTTGCTATCTCTGGCTCCTGGACCTGGACTGTATAGATTGCCATTGTGACAAACTCCACAAGATCTCCATGCGACACCAGGAGCAATTTTGCTTAAAAGTTAAAACACCCTACAAGCTTCACCCATGTGCTCTAAAAGAGCAGCCCATATGTGTGTCTATGTGTGTGTGTCTGTGTGAGAAAGACAGACGCAAGAGAGAGAGAGAGAGAGAGAGAGAGAGAGAGAGAGAGAGAGAGAGAGAGAGAGAGAGAGAGAG